GTCCTGGAGCCCCAGCTCCAGGGAACCCAGAGGGGTGAGGAAGGAGGGGGCTGGCAGGGAGAGCAGAGTTAGAGGAAAATGTGCTCTGGCCCCTTTTACTGGCCCTTGGGAGGCATTGTCCTCGCCTTGCTCCAGGGGGCTGGGCAACTGCCCTTAATTCCTTCCTCCTGAACAAACTGCCCTAGTCAAGGAGGGCATTGCAGTGAGTCCCTTCTGTCTGCCTGGGGCCTGCTACCATGGGGCCCAGGGAGGGAGTACTGCCCTGGGAATCAGACCCATGGCTTGAGGTTCTGCTCAGTCTCTGTTTCCTTGAAGCATGTTCCCCACTCCCTCGTGCCTCTGTTTTGTCTTCCATCCAATCATCAGGGACTGTGCCTGTCTTCTGCCCTGCTGTACTCCTAGCCCTTAGCACAGTCCTGGCATGTGCTAGATGCCAGATAGATATTTGTCAGATGAAATCGTCAATTCATATGAGTGTTTCTCTTATAAAATTGTCATTGAGGATCAGTAGCCAGGTGGATTTCCCAAATGCCAATCACTTACAGTTTTTGCCAACATTAAATCCCATCATTATTTCATTTTTTTTGGCTACCACCTTGCTAGATTTCCACTGAAGTAGATTTCTTTAAGAGCGAAATTTTATATCACAGCCATAAGTAAACAGTAACCGTGAAAACTAATCCACAGAAAACAGAACAATGTGTTTGCGTTCTATCCCAGATGCCATTGCTTGCCCAAGACTATGAGCCTGAGGCCCACCTTCTCTTTGTTTACAAGGGAGAGTGACATGGTTATAAGGATGGATGTTTAAAAGTCTATTAGTACCCAACTGACACTTTCTTCTGGGGAAAATCCAATAGATGAAAAAAGAAGTGAAGAACATGACTTGCTTTCTGTAAGTCCATGTTATGTGAAATCTTGTTGCATACTTTTGAAAATTCCCTTGGAGTGGATTCTCTTTCCACACTTACGGAAACACTTGGCTGAGATGATGGGTGGGGGGGGGTCCTTAGAAAGGATTAAGGGCTTTAATTAACAGGGTAAGTGATTGGTATGCTTATTCTTTAGTCTTGGCAGGGTTTTGGTACCTCCACTTAGTAGGTGATCAGTAAACACTCAATAGTGCAAGAAGGAGTAACTGTGTGCAGAATGTCAGAGCCCAAAGCGATCGTACAGAATACTCAGGCTGATCTGGCAAAAGTGGAAATGGTGTTCTCCGGCGCGTGATAGAGAATCTGCCACCTCCTGAGAGCACAAGCACCTTGCTGACTTGCTTGCTGGACTGCTCTGGAGGCTGGGTGTCTGTCTTTCTGGTGCACACACTGCTCCCCTGCACCCGGGGCCTTTTCTTCAGTGGGGAGATACATAGACTCTCTTCTCTTTCTTTCTGGATATTTGGAGAATGCTGTCTCGTTCTGCCTAAGACAGGGCTCGCAAACTCAGGTGAGCACAGGAGCTAACAAGGGATGCCAATTAGTGAAGGAGGTTAGGTGGGGTAATGGGGGGGGGGGTAGTGTCCCCACCTGAACGGGACAGTCCTACTCCATATCTGCAGATTGTTACCATAGGAGCCCGGCGTGGACAGGTGCTGAGATGGTCTAGGAAAACCTGAACATCTGATTTCGGATATTAAAACTTCAAGTTTTAAATGTTAGCAATACATTACTATATTATAAAACACAGTGTGGTCCAGAGCCCAACCAACAAACCAGCCAAACGTGGTGTGGACCTGGGGGCTTCCTGGTTAAGTCTGGCCCCTAGTCACATACTGCTCACTGCTGCCCCGAAGACTTCTGTTCTTTCTAGGCTGAGCAGCCCCATCCTCCTCAAGCCATGTTTGTGGGTTCCTAGAATTCCCGCCATGATGATCAGCCCCTCTGCCTGCCTTTGAACATTGGCAAGCTCCCTCTCAGCCCATGTCTGTCCTTTTCATCTGGCAAACTCCTACTCATCATTTCAGATTCAAATCAGTTGTCCCCTACTCTGGAGAGCTTTCCTCATCGCCTCAGGCAGACTGGCCCTTCCATTTTCTAGCTATGACATGATGTTGGGTAAACTGCTTAATCTCTCTGTGCCTCAGTTTCCTTCTCTGTGAAATGGGGATGATGATAGTACCTACCTCATTAGATTGTCAAGAGGATAAAAAGAATTTGTAGATACACTGATAGACAGACAGACAGACAGACAGAGGTTTCCTAGAAGGCAGAGCTAGTCCCTGATCCATCTCTGAATCAGGGCTTGTCACAGAGCAGGTGTTCATTAGATGTTAGATCACTTGAGGAAGTGGGGAGAAGTAAATATGTGATCCACTAGCTCCCAGTGAGGTCTGACTGTCATGATATGATGTGGTTGGGAATTCAACTCTTTCGAACTCCTTACTTTTTAAAAAGGCAACCAAAATATCTGTCTAAATGGCTAAAATGCAAAAACAGTGATACCACCAAATGCTGGCAGAGAAACTGGATCACTCATACATTGCTGGTGGGAATGAAAAATGGTACAGTCGCTCTAGGAAACAGAGTTTGACAGTTTTTTTTATAAAACTAATCATATAATTACCAAACGATCCTGCAGTTGTGCTCTTGGGCATTTACTCCAAAGAAGTGAAAACTTATATTCATACGAAGCCTGCACATGAAGGTAATAGCCCCAAACTGGAAACAGCCCAGCCATTCTGCAGTGAGTAAGCAAACTGTGGTACATTCACACAATAGAATACTACTTGGCATTGAAGAGAATGGACTATGGATACACACAACAATTTGGATGAATCTCAAGGGAATGAACTGAGTAAAAAAGTCAATCCCAAAAGGTTACCTACTATCTGGTTCTATTTATATAACATTTTTGAAGTGACACAGTTCTAGAGGTGGGGATCAGTTGATTGCCCAGGGGAAGGATAAGAGTGCTTGGAGGGAGGGGGGCTAGGGAATCCTTATGTGACGGAACTGTTTGTATCTTGACTGTGGTGGTGGACACACGAACCTACACATATGATGAAATTGTGTTAAACTAAACACACACACACACAAAGGAGTACATGTAAAACCAGGGAATTCTGAATTCCTGGTCATGTTACTGAGTACAGTTTTGCAGGACCTTATCATGGGGATAAACTAGGTAAAGGTTGCATATTATGTGCTACAACTGCATGTGAATCTACAATGATCTCAAAATAAAAAGTATAATTAATTCATTTAAAAAGCATTACAAGGGGGCGCCTGGGTGGCTCAGTCGTTAAGCGTCTGCCTTCGGCTCAGGTCATGATCCCAGGGTCCTGGGATCGAGTCCCACATCGGGCTCCCTGCTCAGCGGGAAGCCTGCTTCTCCCTCTCCCACTCCCCCTGCTTGTGTTCCTGTTCTCATTGTCTCTCTCTGTCATATAAATAAATAAAATCTTTAAAAAAAAAAAAAAGCATTACAAGGTATCCACAACAAAATAAAATAAAAGCAACCAAAGGCAGTTGGCTTGTTTTTTTTGTTTTTTTTTTGCTGAGTTTTGCCTTTGGCTTATGTTTACTTTTGAAGTTGGGTTCACTCAGACCCTGAGGACCTTTGCCCTCTGAGCATGGTCAAGCCAACCCCTTCTCCATTTGCTTGTCTGTCCTCCAGTCTCAGAGCTGGGAGGGACCTGAAGAACAATCTGACACAATCTGACCTCCCAGGGGTCAGGCTTACGCCGAATCCTGGTCGTTAGCCTCTGGAGGATGGGCAGTCGGCGAGTGAAGCGGGGAACCCAGAAGATCAGCAATCACTTCTTCTTCTTTTTTTTTTTTTTAAGATTTTATTTATTTATTTGAGAGAGAGAATGAGAGACAGAGAGCACGAGAGGGAAGAGGGTCAGAGGGAGAAGGAGACCCCCCGCTGAGCAGGGAGCCCGATGTGGGACTCGATCCCGGGACTCCAGGATCATGACCTGAGCCGAAGGCAGTCGCTTAACCAACTGAGCCCCCCAGGCGCCCCAGCAATCACTTCTTGAAGCCCAGAGCTATCCTGACCCCTGGGGACCAGCAGGCATTTCCATATTACCCAAATGCAGATCTGTGCCAGTCTTTTTCTTTCTCTTGCCCAGCACCCCACAACTCTCCCCCAGCCTTGCCTGTGAGGTCCCAGATGAGCGGGGCTTACATGATCTGGCTCTTTTCCCTGCAAGCTGTTTCTCTCTGTTATTAGGTGTATAACTTTTTTGGTCAGCTCTTTTGATTCCTATTAATTCTGGAAGGTGGAGACAGTATTTTGCAGGTGGGAAAACAGGCCTAAAGAGTCTCAAGTGATTGTTCCAAGACCCTTTCCCTGTGTGTCTGAGAGTCCATAGGGTCGGCGCTGAATGAAGACAGGGACCAGTTAGCATCGGACTGAAATGTGGTTGACTTCATGTTGTCCAGCAGTCTATGAGAGCAAAAAATGTGATTTTAAAAAAACTTTTAAGGTCATCTAAAGAAGAAAACTTCAGCCAAGATTTTCTAGGTCTCAGTAGTTCAGCAATTACCAAACTTTTTGGTCTTAGGACCCCTTTACACTCTTAAAATTAAGGATGCCCAAGAGCTTTTGTTTATGTGGATGATATCTGTCAATATTTACCACATAATAAATTAATACTGGGAAATTTAAAATATGGCATTAATTCCTTTAAAAATAACAATAAAGCCCTTATATGTTATAATAATATAACAAGCCCCTTCTATGTTATAACAATATAACAGCCTTCTATGAAATAACAGTGTAAACTCCCCCGATTAATAATTTTGTGGCATGATGGAGGTGTTAGCAAAGGCCACGGTGGTAATCATATTGCAATAGATAAACGTATCAGATCAACACTTCCTATGCCTTAGGCTCACCCAAGGTTATAGGTCGAGTCTATCTCAATTAAAAAAAAAAGAAAAAGAAAACGAATATAATAGAAAAAGCAAGTGTTTGGAACACGGGGCGAGTGCCACCCTCAGATGGGAATTTCGAGGCTGACCAGCGTGTCCATCTGTGTCTCTGTCCCCGCACAGGCCCCACCATGAGGCCCCAGCCCCGCAGGAGCCCCCGCGCCGCCCCGGCACCCCGCGCCCCGCGCTAGCCCGCCGCGCTAGCCCCCCGCCAGGGTGTGGGGAGGCGCCAAGGCCATGGCCAGCCACGTGGACCTGCTGACGGAGCTGCAGCTGCTGGAGAAGGTGCCCACGCTGGAGCGGCTGCGCGCCGCCCAGAAGCGCCGGGCCCAGCAGCTGAAGAAGTGGGCGCAGTACGAGCAGGACCTGCAGCACCGCAAACGCAAGCACGAGCGGAAGCGCAGCGCGGGCGGCCGGCGGCAGAAGGTGTCCTTCGAGGCCAGCGTGGCCCTGCTGGAGGCCTCCCTGAGGAACGACGCCGAGGAAGGTAGGCCCCTCTGCCCCCGTCGGCGCGGCCCCGGTGCCTCCCGCCCGGGCGGGGGTGTGTCGGGGGGGAGAGCGGGCCCCCGGGGCCTGCGCCGCGGGGGAGGGGTGCTGGCCGGGCCTGGCCGGTCTCCCCGGTGCGGGCGGGCCCGCGTGTCCGGGCAAGGGCATGTTCCGAGGTGGGGCCCTGAATTGATCTTCGACTCTTTTTTTTGGAAATAAGAATTCTCGCCTTTGGCCCATGAACACCACGTTCATTTTCCTTGCCTCCCACGAATGTGCACCAACATCGCACTTCTTGCGCACGATTGTTCTAGATGTGGCGAACAAATGGGATCTTGTCTTGCTCCTCCAAGAGCTCACTACTCAGAGCATCTGGCATTTCTTAAGCCCCTCCTCTGAGCCAGGCCCCCCGCGCCGGACGCTCCGTATGCGGTTGGGTCTTACTGGGCCTCGGCTGCAGCCCTGGGTGGGGTAGGGCCTGGTGACTAGCCCAGGCCTGCGCTTAGCCTGCCCTCGCTTCTCAAACTGATTTTGTCGGTTATTCCCGGGGTGACTCGGGCAAGGAGGCAAGTCACTTGGGCTCCTTATACCTTCGTTTCCACCTCTGTAAAATGGGGATAAATGCTAGTATCCGCCTCAAGGGCTTGCTGTGAGCATTAAATTAGCTAATACCGCTAAGTTGTTGGATATGTGTGGTCCCTCCTACTCTGTGAGTGGTTATTAGTATGTTTTATTTTATTACATGATTCCTATATTTTATTTCATTATATTTATAGAATGAATGTATGTTTATATACACATTTGTATATATATAACATTTGTATAATATCATATATATATATGTATATATATAATTGTTTATATGCAGAGTGTCCATAAACTCTGGAAACACAGGAATATACACAATGTTGTCTAGGACATTTTCACTCTATAAAGCAAACTAATAAACACAAATGCAAATACACAGTCATATAATCTGTTTCCAGATATTATGGATATCCTGTACTTGTTACATTTTACTTAATTATGTTATTATATGTCCCCTGATCCAGATACCATGATACCCCAGAGGCAGGTATAATAAACACCCATTTTACAGATGGGGAAACTGAGACCCAGAGAGGTTCAGAACCTTGACCAAGGTGGCAGAGCTGGGACCAGGAACCACAGGATCCAAGGTCTTGTCACTGGCCTCATGGCCTTGTAGGTTTGTTTCCCGTTATATCAATGATTGGAGGATCCATGATTTGACCAAAGCTCTCTTCTCTGAGGATGCTCTGAGGGGTCATCGCGCAGCTGAGGTTTGTGTGTGTGTGTCCTGTGTTCCCCTCAGCAGCCTCCAGTCCTCTCCCGGTATAGGAGGCCTTTCTGGCTGTCCCCGGAGAGGCTCGCTAGCCGTGTTTCTTGGGTCCCTCTGGCCTCCTGCCTGCACACACCCTCCAGACATGTGCTAACGCAGTCATCGAGAGAGGGATGGCATTTGCTGCACTAGAGGGTTGGGTTTTATGCACGTTGCTCTTCGGGTTCTAGCACTCTCTGAGAAGCACAGTTCCCCTTCTGCCCTGGTTACAGAGTGCTCTGGGGACGGAGCAGAAGCATTCCCAGAACTACTCAGCTGGAAAGAGCGCAGCTGAGAGCCTGGGGTGAGCAGCCCCGGGACAGAGGCATGAAATGTCGGGCTCGGGGGACTGGCCCTGCGAGGCTCCTTCCCACATGAGGTGCTGGGTGACGTGGCAGACCCATCCCGCTCAGTGGGCGGCACATCAGTGATGTCTAATTTGTGTCGTGGGTGGCGGTTCATCAGCTCTTCTTTGCCACTCATCTTTTCCTCCCTCCTTCCCTGACAAAGCCCTGAAGGGACTCTGTGAGCTGGCTGACAGCTGATCCAGAATGTCGGCGCCTCCCCAGCCCCGGCATGGGCCCCACACCCAGCCGGCCTCCCACACAGACTGGTGAGAAGGAGCGCCGGGCTTGGGTCCAGGACCGCAGGCCCCCTCGGCCTTGCGTGTGACCTTGAGCAGCTTGTTTCGCTGCTCTGGGTCCACCTTCTTAATCTGTTAAATGGAGTTTGTTTGTTTGTTTGTTTGTTTGTTTTAAAGATTTTATCTCTTTATTTGACAGAGAGACGGTGAGAGAGGAAACACAAGTAGGGGGAGCGGGAGAGGGAGAAGCAGGCCTCCAGCTGAGCAGGGAGCCCGATGCGGGGCTCGATCCCAGGACCCTGAGATCATGACATGAGCCGAAGGCAGACGCTTAATGACTGAGCCACCCAGGCGCCCCATGTAAAATGGAGTTTTGAACCTTGTCCTCAAGGGGGTGTGAGAAGAATGAGACAAGACCCTAAATGTGACAGCTCTCTGAAAAGTGACCCTGAATGCTGCACCAGGGTGGTGACCATTTTAACACACTTTGTTTTTAAGAACCCAAATATACACAAACACGTTCTTCTTGTAAAAATCAACACAGAAGCATACAGAGTAAAAAGTCCCTCCCTCCACCCTTCTTTTTCTCTGTTAGTTTCATGTGTTTCCTTCCAGGCATTTTTCTTATTTGCCTGTGTATTTGTCCACTTGGAGAAACAGGGTCTAGTTGGGGTTTTTAATTTTTTTTTTGTTTTTATGTAAGTGATGACATGTTGGATACATTATTCTGCAGTTTTCTTTCTTTCTTTCTTTTTTTTTTTTTTTTCACCCAGCAAGATACCTTGGAGGTGTTTTCAATGCCAATACCGTGGAATAATAGAGCTGTAGTATTCTTTTTAATCACTGCATAGTATTCTGTAGTATGGATTCAGCAGAAGTTTTGAACTGATTCCTTAGTGAAGGGCATGGAGGTTTTTCCAGTGGTTTTGCTTTTGCCCAAGTGAACATTTTGTGCACACAGGGTAGATGTTGATCAAGGACAGATGTGGGAAGATGGAAGAGTTGGTTGCAAGGGTATGTGTATTAAATTTGAGTGAGTCAGGTGCTGCCCCCTTCGGCTGGTCCCTAGCCTTGGGGCAGCCAAGTGAGGGTGGAGGCCTGGAGCACTGTGTGCTGTGGGAGCTGTAGGGTGGGGTGAGAGGTCCCCCTGCAGTCCACAGGTGGCTGGGCTTGGGCTGGGGTGTGCAGCTTCCATCAGTCAGCAGGCAATCTGGCCAGGCTTCGCTCAGCATCCTGGCAGCATGACAGAGCCCGCTGCTCCCAGCTGGTGGGGATGGTTTCTGTGTGCTGGCGGAGCTGGTGCGGGGGAGGCTGCAGGGGCGTTAGCTCACAGCGGGATGGGAATGGGGGTGTCAGCTCCCCCGCTCCCTTGAGCTCACAGCAGTGGCTGAGTCAACCTCCTCCACCTGCCAGGGCAATGTGAGTCAACCCAGAGAAAGGCAGCGCTGGAGAGGGACTCACTGTACTTCCTTCTCTGGCTCTGCGTTGTCTTCAGGCTAACATCCGGGCACCAGGGACCCACCTTGGTCTTGGACCTGCCTGGGATCATGACCTGCGCCGAAGGCAGACGCTCAACGACTGAGCCACCCAGGCGCTCCATGTAAAATGGAGTTTTGAACCTTGTCCTCAAGGGGGTGTGACAAGAATGAGACAAGACCCTAAATGTGACAGCTCTCTGAAAAGTGACCCCCACCCTCTTGTGCCCCCTGCCCAGCATCACCCCGTACTCCAGCCATCTCCAACTCCAGTTTCTTCCCATATGCCCTGCGTTCTCATACCTCCCCACCTTTGCATACGCAGTTCCCTCTGTCTGGAACACTCCTTCCCCTGATTCCTATAACCTAGGGGTTGGGTCTTGAGTGACCTTCTTGGGGAGCAATCTATGAGCCTTTTCTGCACCCCATCCCATCACTAGTTAGAGCAGTAACAGACACAGCTGACGTTTCCCGAGAGGCAGTGCAGTGTCGTGGAGAGGAGCATGGACTCTGGAGCTAGTTCTCCAGGATTCACGTCCCAGCTCTGCCGCCTACTAGCTGTGCAACATCAGCAAATTTACTCAACTTCTCGGGGCCTCAATTTCCCCATCTGTGAAAATGAGGAGGATATAATACAACTGCCTCAGAAAGTTGTCGTGGGGTTAAAATGAGTTTACAGATGTTGAAGTGGTATGCTAAGGAGTAGATTTAAGTGCTATAAATTGTAGCTATTCTGCATCATCTGTGGTCTATACTTACATAATCTACACTAGTGTATACACTGATTATCATTGTTACTGTTATTTACGGAGTGCTTACTTTGTATCAAAAGTTATCTCAGTTAATCCTCGTAACAACCCTCTGCGAGGGAGTCAAATCTCATTTTTTAAAAATAGCTCTATTGAGGTTTAATTGACATATCACAAAATTTGCCCATTTTAAGTGTGCGATTCAATGATTTTCAGTAAATTTACAGAGCTACGCACCCATCACCACAACCCAATTTTTGAACGTTCCATCACCCCCAAGAGAAACTTTGTGCCCATTTGTAGTCACTCCTGATTCCCACCCCTGCCCTCCAGCCCTAGGCAACCACTAACCTGCATTCTGCCTCTATACCCTTGCTTTTTCTGGAACATTCAACTTACATGGATCATCCAATATGTGATCTTTTGCGGTTGGCTTCTTTCATTTAGAGTTATGTTCCCAAGGTGGGTTTAAGCTGTGGCATGTGTCCGGATTTCATTTCTTTTATTGCCCTATAGTATTCCTTTGTATGGATATGCCGCATTTCGTTTATCCATTCACATTTGGATTGCTTCCTTTTGTGGTAAGTCTTTGTTTGCACTTAAGTTTTTATTTCTCTTGGGTGGTTACCTAGGACTGGAATTGCTGGGTCACATGGCAAATTTGGGTTTAACATTTAGGAAGCTGCTAACCTGTTTTCCAAAAGGGCGGCACCATTTTGCATTCTCAAACCTCATTTGACAGAGGAGGACATCGAAAGTCTGAGAGGCTATGTCACCTGCCAAAGATCTCATAGGTTTTTGGCGTCAGACCTGGGACTCAGACCCACATCTGATGTCTCTGCAGCCTGTGCTTTT